AAATGTTTCTGCTCCTGAATCTGTAAGGAATGACATAGCGGCTGGAGCAGAAGGTCCCCTGTCCTCTGTCTGCCCTGAACTACCCTTAGGATAAGGAGCACAACCACGCCCCGCTCCACCGTTTGGATTCTGGATGCAGACGCTGCTGAACGGCTTTGACTGCTGCCTGGAGAAAACTGTGATAAGCAAAGGAATAAGAGGGGGAAGCATTTATATGTGTTGGAGAGAGGAAACCTGATCAATGAGAGCATTTCCTCCACTCCAGAGTTGCCATGTGTGGCTGTAGCACCCTCTGGGCTCCCAGTGGGGGGGAGTGGGCTGGGGACCAGCTGCTCGCTTCATTTGCTAACAGGGTCTGGCTTGGCGGCGAAGGGGAAGGGCACTGCATCATACGCTTTTTATCAAATAGATCTCCTTTGTATTTTGCTTTCAGGCCAGATGGACTCATGTATCAAATGTTTCGCAGTCAATTTTTAGCATTTTCAATATTTCAGAGTGAGTATATCTTACTTTGCTAATTCACGGGATAAAATAGTTTTGTATCTTTATGTGCTTAGAAGAAAAGACCTTTTTTTGGTAAATACTGGAGTATTAAACTGTAGGAATATAAAGACTACATATAAATAGGCAATGTACAAATATAAACTAATTAAATGCTGTTGGATTAAACATTATTAAAATAGTTTGATACATTTGTCATACTTCCGAATAGCCAATGCAGTGATGTTTTCTCTCTTCTCCAGGCTGCGTTCAGTTCCTACAGTATTATTATCAAAGGGGCTGCCTTTACAGACTCCGTGCTTTGGGGGAGAGAAACCACTTGGACCTTACAGTAGGTGAGGTTTTCTGCAGCACTTTGTGAAGTTTTTGCACAGGTTTTAGGTGTGGCGATAGGGAGAGGGCTGTGTGGCCTTCTGAGAGTGAGCTTTACAGATCTGCCACCCCCTCCCCTGCTGCCTGTGTCCTAAGGCAGGAAGGGGAGTGAGGCTTTAGCTCCTTCCTTGGGTTGGGAGAAGACTCTTATCTCCATCAGCTCTTGAGAGGGTTAAATGGAGGCTTTGGTTATCCCAGTCTTCACTGTCCTCCTGTTACCACACCTTCAAGTATATATTTTAATATATTTTATGTATATTGGGGTGGTTGTTGCAGAGCAGGATGGGAATAGCCCTTAGGAGGTGGTCTGGGCAGAGAGGGCTGCAGCTCCAGTCCTGGCTCTTCTGTGCTCACTCCGTCTCTTCTGTCAACCTTTTTCAGAAGGATTTCAGTCCTGGATGTGGCGGGGGCTGACGTTTCTCCTTCCCTTCTTGTTCTTTGGGCATGTAAGTTGGGCAGTTCCATTCCTCCCTCTGGTGCAGGGCTGGGGAGGGTTTGCCACTGCGGTTGAAGCACCATAAAAAGGTGCTTTGGATTACACATACCTGTGGCAAATGTTTCTAAGGTTGGGGTTTTTTGCTAGTAATGAAATTGCCTTTTTTTTTCTCCCCTTTCTAGTTCTGGCAGCTATACAATGCAATCACGCTTTTTGGATTGTCAAGGCATAAGGAGTGCAAAGAATGGCAGGTGGGTGTTGGTTCTGCTCAGAAAAAGCACAGAGCAGGGGAAGAGGGGGTGTTTAACCACATCCTTAGATATTTGGGCATCTGACCCCATATAAATATCTCAGGATGATGTGGCACAGAGCCTATACAAGAGAACTCAAAATAAATGTGAGTACTGTAGAGAAATTTGCACCCACGGGTGACCACACAGACTGAAAGGCAGAGCATGTAGGGGGAAGAAAATATGTATGGGTAAATAACTCTCCATATTCCTCGAGTTTATGGGCATTTACAACAGTGCCTGCTGAGTTGCTGGTGGTTCTTATGGCTAATCCATGGGTTACGCATATAAAAATATGACAAAAAAATTATGGCAGTGAGTCACTTTCAAAACGTATCATCTGTTTTGTTTCCCCACTTTTAGGGATCTTTCCACTTGTTTTCTCAGTTGCTGTCACCCATCAAACATGTCTATTCATTTTCCAGCTATAGAGTTGCTCCTGTAGATCCAGACTGGACCACGTGTAGTGGTGCAGATAATCTGATGGTCTTTATTTTGGTCAGATCTTGCTGTAACTCACGTGCTTGCTTTGTTCAGGAGCAACACACCTTCCCACAGAAACGTGTTATTGCTCAATGAACATGCTTGTGCCACATTAACTGGACTTAATGATTTTATTTTTACTGTCTGGTAGAGTCCAGCAGTGTTAAATATAATCCATGTTATAATATTAAGAAGTCTTAAATGCTACTTAAATGATCATGATAAAAATATACTTCCTATTAACCCACACAGCTGGATGTATTTGGCTGTGATTGTCTCTCCTTGGATCTCTGGACTTGCCAACCAAGCCCCATCAGAGCTCACTTAAATGTGGCCAAAGCAGTACCCTCAGTTCTTACCTTTTTTCCTCTTTTTTTTTTTTCCTCCTCCCCTCTCAGGTTTTTGTGTTGGCTTTCACGTTTCTGCTGCTCTTCCTTGGGAACTTCCTCACTACTCTCAAAGTGGTGCACACTAAACTCCAAAAAAACAAAGACAAAATGAAGAAGCTGTGAACTACCTGTCCTTGGCATGCTGGCTGCCATCCTTCTGCCCGCAGCAGGCGCTGGGTGTGGGACGGATCTTGCTAAACCCCAGCTACACCATGGACAGGCTCGGAAGGACTCATCTGTTCCCGTGTTTGGTGAAGGATCTGGACTCTGCCAGCACAGACTCAGTATTAACGCAAGCATGGCTCTCCAGTCCGCAGTCCTGCTATTTATGTATATTTAATACAAAACGTGTTTGCTTTTTGTTTGGGGTTTTTTTTCTGTATACAGAGCAGCATGTATCTGCCCAGCAAAGCAGCATTGGTAGAATGTGGGATCTACTGTAATTCCAATTCTGGAATGATATTTAACACTTTCGTGTTTTATTATTTAAATTCTGGGTATTGGATTTGCGAAGGTTTATGAACACTCCAGGCTGATCAGTAGCACAGAGCGAATATTGGTTTTTAAAGGCATTTGTTTAGGGCATATTTTCAGTGGCAATACTAACCTGTGTGTACTGTGAAGACAAAAAAAACCCACCAACAAAACCCACCTATCTTTGTACTGTACTGCTGCTATATACACTTTAAAAAAGCTATTTAAAGAAGAGAAATCCTCTTTTGAAAACAAAACCAGTTTTTAAATGGCAGGGAAGTCTGCTAGCCCTCTTCCAGGGAGACCAGGTCATCTGTCCAGGCCTGGAACAGACCCAAAATAAACCATTCAATATGCAGCTGCTTCAGCCCCTTTTTAATAATAAATATACTGTCCTTCAGGTTGTTTTTTCGAGACACTATTTTTCCTTAAAATGGCCTTGATCAGTGGCAATAAGTGCCGTTGTACTTTGGTTTCTGTTCTCAGTATTTTTTTGCTCCTAGTGCCATTCCAGAAAGGGGAGGAAAGGCTCAGCAGAAATATCAAATACTTTCTTTAGATGCTGCACTTGTACCAATAATTAAGAGAATGTAAACAGTTGTTCAGGAGGATGGCAGAGGAGGAATACTGACTGCCATCCTGCTTAACTCCTTGTGCTGCTTGAACTTAACCTGACTCATGCAAATAAGCTTGTTTTGGGTGCTGTAACATCCACACCTCCTAAGGCCAGCTGCAGTATTGTGAGCTGCTTTAGGCAGGGTCTTTCCCAACGGTGAAAGCTTCCTTTGAGCTAGTACAAAGCCCAAATTGGGCATATGCTTTGGCAGAGTGTGACTGGAAAATGATGCCCTTCTCCCAGTAAGTGTGCTCATGAAGAAATATATATATATATATATATATGCACTACAGACTTGAAATGGTTTTATCAGTTCTGTTGCTGCGACGCTAGCAAAATTACCTTTACAGCGTCACTGTCTTGTGGGCATGAACAATAAATTGCAATTTGCATATTTTGAACTACTTTCATGCTAACTGGGATGTATCTTTCTATGTTAACTTCTGACGTTTGCACACCCTGTGAGTTTTTTGGGTTTTTTTTTTAAATCCTTTGAACGCTCCATTTATGAAATGTAAATTGTTTTATTTTGAGAGCGATGCTGGAACCTGCTGGATCCGAGCAGTGGACCTGGTTCTCCAGGGGTGGGGAGCTCTGCACGTGGCGAGTAACTTGAGTTCTGCAGCATGAGAAACTCAGATTAAAAAAAGCAAGATTCCTGCTGTGGAGCTGATGGTAAATCTGTAACTTCCTGTACGTTGATGTTTCAGTTTTGTACCAGGTAAGTTGATGGGTTGTTCTGTGTCTTTTACTGACAAAACTTCATTTCTGTCTCTTCAAAGGTGCCTCATAAGCTGCTCTAACTAGGATTTGCACATCCTCTGGCAGCGAGATCTCAGATTTTAGGAGCAATCACTAGGAGATTCGAGGCACATGTAGTAGGTTGTGCAGTGGGAGCACCCCTCATCCTTAAACAGAACAGGCAAGTGACACCCTCATCACAAAAGGGAAAATTTTAATTTACAGCGGTAGAGATTACTTCATTAGTTAATGAACGTGAGTTAAGTATTTCCCCTAACATGCATCAATATTTGCATCTGTCATGTATTAAATAAACTGTAACAGTTTCTTGTAGGACTGCCTTTACACATAGTAGCTGCTTGGAGTACTTCTAGCTCTGATTGCTGTAAATTAAATACTTTCCATTATAATTCCATTTCTGAATTGGAGCAGCTGGTGCCTTTCCATTGATAAATACCACTTCCTATTCCAGCAGCAGGCCTTGAAAGGTCTCCAAAGGTGCAGCTCTGCAAAGCTGGCCCAGTGGTATAGGGGCAGTAGTGGACACTCCATCTGTGCCCTGGGGGCAGCTTGAGGCCACCACTGCCACCGGCTGAATTAATTTGAAAATGTAAAGACAAAACTTCATTTCTGTCTCTTCAAAGGTGCCTCATAAGCTGCTCTAACATCACTTCTTAAAGATGTGGCTTTTCTGTCACAGGTATTTTGCAGAGGAAGAAAACCCCACTAATCAAGTCATTTAGTAGCAGTTGCTCTTCACTGCAGTTTAAATAGTGAGTCAAGACCTGACTGGTGGTTGTTGGCAGTGAGGAGCAAAAGCCAGATGGACAAAGGCATGCGGTATCAGTTAACCTTGATAAAGAGCTTTGAAAACTTTGTGAGAACAGTGCAAGAAAAGTGCAAAATACTAAAAATAATTAAAATTTTAAAATAAAAATTGTTCTAGGAATACAAGCAAAAGAAAAAAAAAAAAAAAGTCTTTCAAGTTATACTGTTTTAAAAATCATCGCTTGGCTCTCACGCAGTCAATGCTGTCTTGCAGTCCAGATCATAACACTGAGCACACTGTCCGTTTTTTTTGGCGCTTGGCTTTTTTCATGGCATTCAGTGCGATGGTAGTTGCTTCTTTAAAAACCTTTTCTATGTTTTCACGACATTTTGCTGAGCACTCCAGATAAACTTCTGCATTAATCTGCTGACAAGCTGCTTCACCCTGGAAAGAACAAAAGGTAAGAAAATATATGTAAACCCAATGTATGAGAGAAGGAAGGTGAGATGGGAAAGAAAGGGAATTATTTTGTACATCTTTGTATCATGAGGTCAGGAAGAAAGAAGCTGCCTCTGAGTATAGTGCTGGAGTGTAAGTGGCATTGGTAATAAACTGAGGCACTGTTAAATAAACTAGGCTTTTTCCTCCTATGTTGATCTAGAGCCTGGCCTAACAGTGCTGTCCATTGAAGACTATCTAAAATGCGGACTGCTGTAAAAAATCTTTCTCAGGGTTAAATTCGTTTAAAAGAAATGCAGAGGTAGATACTTAAGTGAGAATAAGACGTCTACACCATGGTATTTTTTTCAGGCCTGGTCTTAACTATTATGTGATGTCACCTTTAGTAATGAATGTCACATGCAAGAACAGAATCTGGAGCATCACTGGGGCTCGGCTGAAATCCTCGTATACACAAATGGGTGCCTGTGTTTCTCAGCCTCACCCAAACGCATGCAATGGGAACAGACTAGAATCTAAAACGTTTGCATGCAATCCTGGTTGCACAAAATCACTACAAACAAAACACAGCGACTTCTTACTTTGCTTGTGATCCTTTTATTGTCATTGCAGAGTCAGCCCCCAGTTTTGAATGCTTGTGAGAGCCTTGGAGTGTGAATTCCAGGTCTGCAACCCACAGCTCACAAACTCTGCATTTATTCAGTATAAACCCTGGGAGTGGGGTCACTTGAGCACTCGGGCTTCTATAGGGGGATTTTTCTTCAGCATGTTTAAGCGAAGTTTGTCTCCTTCCAGTTGTTTGTAAAGCTGCAGTGCTGGCAGATACTGTTCAGCTCCTCTGTGCCTGGCATTGGAAACATCACGTCGCATGACTCAAGATGCCATCAGCTGTAAAAGACTGAGGTAGTGTATATTTAAGGGGAGAAAAACCAAGTGGGAGGGCTCACATAGGAGACAAAGTTTGTACATTGTGTGGGCCCTGGAATCTAATTGCATGAGGCCTCAGCAGACTTGCCAAAAGTGTTTGTTCCTTGCCCTGAACCTCATGTATGAGGGTGATGAAGGGAGTTATTAATGCAAATGAGGGACAATCTGCAGCTGTTCACGAAGCGACAAGATGGGCGTCTCATCTTATGCGCAAGGAAAACAAGCTAATAGTCCCCGTGTGGTTCAGTGGTGACGCAGTTGCAGTTTCTTTTCTTGCTGTTTAGAAAAAGTAGTGATTCATTCAAGGTCATGGTGTACTTAACCCTGTTCCCCGGCCTTGTGTCTCAAATGGTTCGAAAGCCGCTGGTTTTGCTTTGAGATGGGAGAAGGATGGCTTTGTAGTTTAAAAAAAAAAAGAAAAAATGGGAGACCAGAGCAGAAAGGTCTTGTGTGACATGGGACAAGGTGTTCCATCACTGTTTCTCCTGTACCTAGGACAGCTATGCCAGTGTTCTAACACTAGTTGTAAGTCTCGCTGCTTCATAATACTTAAAATTGAAAACATGTGATATGTAGATTTTTTTGGTTAAGATTACTTTAGAGACTTCAAACAAAAGCCTCTTATGTTAGAGAAGCCTTGGAGATGTTTATGCTATTGTCCTTGAAAGGATTTATTTTTAAATAGTGTTTGCAAAACACATTTTTTCCAGGATGGTCAGTATTTTTAATCCTGTAATGTGCATCCTAGCATCTCCAGTCTTTATCACAAGTCTGATCAAAGTACTAGTGATGGGAGCAATGTATGCTAATAAAAATTACGAAGGGAGTCAAACTTGTTGGGGCTTAAAAATTTGTAACAGCCGTAACCCAGCTGTGAAAGGGAACAAGAATGAGATATAACGAGCCTAGAAGGCGTAGCTAGTTAGTGTCCTTTCAGACACTCCAAAATATGCAAAACAGTCTTCAAATTTCTCTTTATTTTGGTACTAAAACTGGGTGGTGATTTGGCCACTTCCAGAAGGGACTTACAGAAACCCCTGTTAGTGCTGACAGTCAATAATTTCTTTACCTGGACACTGCAGTCACCTAATTTTGGAGTGTCTGCAATTGCACTTGTGAGGAACAATGCCATGGAAGTAAGCGTGCTTTATCTTTTGTCAAGAGGACACTGCTTTAAATTCACTTCTCTTTACCTGGTTGTAAGTAATGGGTTCCTGCTTAGAGGCCCTGAGCTTGCGCAGCTGTTCTTTGTCTTTCCGAAGGTCTGTCTTGCACCCAATCAGTACGAGCGGAACGCCTCGGCAGAAGTGATTCACTTCAGGATACCACTGATGGTAGAAAAATAAAACTTTCACATCTGGCTTTTTAAATTTTTTTCTGAAATCAAAACAGTAAAGCCAAGGAACAGAACAAGCACTTAATATATGCTGCAATTTCAGAGTTTTGAAAGCTGTTAATCTAGTGGTAGGGGCCTGACATGCACTATTTGCATTACAGAAATATTTGAGTCCTACCCAAAGTCAGCTGCTTTATAAAAACATAGGTGGCATCTGTCACCGTGCCAAAGTACTTATTTAACATCTGCTTAAATTCAGAAGAGCTTCTCTAAAGTTGTATTTAAGAGCAGAATTTGGACTGAGTCTTGCTTTGTTTTGCTGGTGCTCTGTACAGGAATGCTCACTTCTACTTCGGAGCATTACAGAAATCCTAGTACAGACAAGTGGCTGCTTACATCTCCCCTGTAGTTAAACATGCATGGGGTGGAAGCAGGCTTGAATGTAAAATGCTGGTGTGTGATGTTGGTCATGTGAGACTGCTGCAGATACAGCAGCGATCTCACAGCTGGTGTTTGATCATTTTAGTGTAGTGCAGAGTCAATCCCAGCTCGGAGCACTTAGGAGCTGTGGAGAGGTGAGCTCCAGGTCCAAGGTCTGTGACCCGCAGCTCAGCGCGTGAGGAGTGATCTGTGCATCCACACGCCCAGGGTACGGGACACTGAAAGCACTGGCTTTTTTAATCTGACATATATCAGGTGTACGCAATTCCTTTAAAAGGTTGAAGCAATTATGAAAGCCTCTCACCTTAGCTGCTACGTTATCATAGCTAGTGGGGTTCATGACATCGTAACAAATTAACACGACGTTTGTGTTCTGGTAAGAAAGTGGTCGTAGCCGATCGTAGTCCTCCTGCCCTGAAACAGAGAATGTTTTGGATGAAAGCAGCCTCTGTCCTTAACAAGCAGTATGATGGGAATATATAAAGATCCATACCTGAGTTCAAGAACAACAGTACTAGAATTGCATAGACTGCAAGTTTTCCACACTTGTACAATTTCTTTCCTTAAATGCAGGAGATTCCCCTTCACTGACAAAACTGATGCTTTAGAATATAAAAACATGTCCTTGGCAAGTTTTAATAAAAAGCCTGCTTTGTCCTACTGCTAAGTACATAGAAACAGTTCTAATCACCAGTTGCCAAGCTGCTGCTCACAAGCAAAATCAGCAAGAGGAATCTGACAGTTATCGATTAAAACATTTGTAATTTGGCAGTGGCTCCATTCTCCCAAATACATTTGCACATGCGACGCCGTGAGGGAAAGAAACACCACATCTGCGAGATGTGAATGCTGAAGTCAAAATCTTGGTGGCAAACTTGCTTTTCCCAGCCCAGAAAGCTGAGAAGCAGCAGCAATTAGCACGCTGTGCCTTTAGCACCACTGCTCCTTGTAGCACCCCGTGCGTGATTTTACAAGACGTGCCGCGACATGAGCCAGGCTTAACTGGTCTTTGAAGCAGGACTACACAGCAAATCTTAGGGATGCTGCTGAATTCTGGAAAAGCAGGGGATTTGTCATACTTCTGATTAGGGATATTCTAGCACGTGATGTGACAAGAGGAAGCTAATTTGCTTGAGAACTGTCCCTTTCCCCTTGCTGTACATATAACTTAGTGGTGATCACCACGCTGGGGTCTGCAGGTGTCTTGCTTTGAGAGAGTCATTACCAGATATAGTTGGCTGCTCAGTAAAACCAATCTTTAGAGATTTTTACAGAGACTTAATAAGGAAGAAACCATGATTTAAGCAGTCTGTAGAAGATCTATTTGCCACCTGAATGCTGCCCCTGGAATCAGGTATGTCTCTGATGCACCAAATTTCCAAAACGAGACTTGGGAATGCCATTCCTTCCCACGATCACAACATAAACACAGCCCAGAAACTGCCCTACAGGGAAGTTACACATCTCAAATCTTTGTACTGATATTTCAAATGAAGGGATGCTGAAAATTTCAGCATGCCCTGACTTTATACCAATTATTCCCGCCCTGGCACCTGGCTCAGTCCCAAGTCACATACTTACCACTCTTAGCCAACATGCTTGGCTGTAGCTGCAATTTGAAGAATTGCAGATACCAGAAGGCAAGTAATTCTATAATACTTTGCTCCCCTCCTTAATTTAAATGATGGATCGAGAAACAGGTTATTACAAGGCAATCCCTACTGGGTAAGCCATTACTCAGTTTGCCTGAGATGTTTGTAAAACGGGAATCTCAGGTTTGGACTACTCTGTATTTGAGTTCCTGCAAGAGCAGCGTGCTCCATGGGCGAGATGCAGAATGAAGGAGGATTGATCCCTCAAGGTTTAATCCAGAAATAACAGACAATTGACAAAATGATGCATGTTGTATAAACATTCAGAGCAAAGACTGTAGTGCTTAGCCCTTCTTACTTTCCCAAATCCACCTACTTGTCTGCAACTCATTTACCAGTTTGTCGCTGAGCTAATCCTCTAAATGCATTAAACGCATCAGGTACCAAACTTTTTTTTTTTCTCTCCTAACTTTCTCTAGTGTTATGTGCTGTGTATGATTTTCTGTTTTCCCTGTTCAAGTTCATGTCTCTAAGCTTTTACCAATGTAGCTTGTAAAATGAAAAGGTCTTCCAAGTTATTGGTGGCAATTTGCGAGGCAGACAGGATTGTCCCCTTGGAAGAAACGTGTTCATTTGCTTGGAATCAGAACATACAGCTAAATTCACACTCTCCTGGATGGAGTAACAGAAGAGGTGTCTTCAGTGTTGTGACACAAATATGCGGTATTGCAAGTCAGAAACTAGATATGCCCCAGTGAACTGCCCCTTCATCTTCACAACCAGCTGTGCAGTTGTTTTTCTTAAGCAAACTGAGAAAATAAATGGATGAGAAAATGCTGCTGTATAAAATGCAACTCCAGATATCTTTGGAATTTCAAATACAGAGCACAGAACAAGGTGTAGTGCAGCGACCACAGGGGGAAGGTTAGATGGTAATTGCTTAACTCGTATTATGGTCGGATGATTGCAGCGCTCACTTGGAAGGAGAGGAAGCTATTCTCGAAGAGCTCAGATGCAGTTCTTCAGTTGCTGAGGATGTAAGAGGATCCAGATCAAGCTGTGTCTAAACATTGACATCCTTCTCACTGAAAACAATCCCTTTCACCCCCTGTCCTTAAGTGCTGCTGATGAAATGCAAGAAAGGGCCTGGGAGACTTTTTTTCTGTAAAGCTGCTCAGTCTGTGGTCAGAGCTAATTTGGCACAGATTTAGGTCTTCTAGAAGAAGAGTTTTAAAATGAACCTGAGCACTAACTGAATGTATATGCAAAGCCCCCGTGTGCTTCCTCAAGCACAGGTAGCTGTTTTCTTTCCCCAATTAACAAAAAGCATGCTGTGGAAGAATCAGTTAAATACAAATATATGTGTGAGTGTATCTGTGACTTTCCTCTGCTTGCCTCAATTCACTGTAGCATCAGGGACCCCATTTGCTATTTTTAAAGAAAAACTTTGCGAATTTTTTGCAAAGATCACACTCCTGCATGCCTCTGTGACATGCTGTGTAAGCCACTGGTGGGGCGGGACCTCAGGTGATGGTTGAGGGTGAACTGGAGAAGTGAAACCACAGATCTCGGTCTCACATGCCTGTTCTCCTCTGTTCTTCTTCACCCTTCACAATTCACCACCGAAGAAGTGCCAGCCTGCACGTTGCTCAGCTCAGCATCCACTGCCACTGAGGGTAAATGATAGAGTCAAGACTTCCCAGCCTAGGAGTCTACCAGCATGTCCATTGCCACCAACTGCCAGCGGGTAAGGAAGAACACAATATCCTGTCACCCAGAGCAGCCAACCACTTCCTCAATATGGCCACATGTTATCTGTAATACTCCACACTCATACTCATGGTTTAAGATCGACATGGAACCATGCGATGGTGAGCCCTCAGAGGCACACAGAAATGCACCCAATTCTCCTTGCTTTGTTATTCTGCAGGCTCCATGGGAATACCATGGTTCTTAGCTATGATTTTTTACTACTCATTTTTTAAAAAATGGGGAAATATGTTCTTGGCAGGAATAAGACCAGTAGAAGAGGACACTTGGAGTGTGTGTGGGGGGGCACACTTCAATTAAAAAGTTGGGGTTTTTTTGTCTTCCTCGGGCACACCTTCCCTTTCAAAGTTACGGAAAATTATTCTTGCATATACCAGCTTTTAAAATTTCTCTTAAGGCCTCAGAATGCTGTGCATCTGTCATTACAGACCTGAAAAACCCTACTGGAGGCTTTGCGTGTGCTTCCTGCCAGTCAGAGTGAGCACCCACAATGATGAGACATTACTTCCTCCACAGCCCAGCAGAGCTCTTCGCTTTGGTCTGAGAAAGTCCTGCACTGAACAGCATCAGGCGTTGAACCTTGTGTCTGAACTGCCACTAAAGCATCGACACGGCTCCCCTAGTATGTAAAAAACCAACAGAGTTAATTTACCTCTCAATGCCTTTGCCTCAGTCGAGCACAGCAAGAAATGGAAACTTAATTGGGTAAGCAGCTGCAAAGCCTGTTTGCAGACAAGTGATGTTACAAAGCCTTTACACATTGCATATGTATACCACCAACTTCCTGCAACAGCAAGAGGTGTCTGATCAGGAAGATACAGTGGCACAGTACAAAAGTCTCACAAAAATCTGTTATTCTAGCATATTTTAGACTAACTCATTAACTTCATTTGTTACCAAAATTCCTGTAAAGAAAACCCACAATCTTTTGTAGCTTGGAATGTTTGATTTTTAGGTGCTTTATTTGTGTCCTTCTCCTTCAGTAAGTAGGACAAGCTCAAAGTCTCAAGCTGCACAGGAGCTGACAATACAAAGAATCCTTCTAACTTGAAACAGCCCACGGAGCTGAACCTGTCCTTTACCTTCCCATGACACTGAAGTACATGCAGCTCTACTTAGTGTTGCTCTTAGCAAGATCCTATATCAAAGTCCCTTCTGCACATGAAGATCCAGTGATGCTTTTTAGAAGAACAGCTTTGCCTTCTCCCCTATACTGCTACATAATGCTTCACTTAAGCCCTTCACCTCAGAAATGGGTTTACATCCTTTTGATCCCATTTAAATGACTTTCTGATAATCTGAATGATTTGGGAACCTTTCAGACTTGAGAAGAAAAACACAAAAGCTGTCTTAGGATTTTAGAAAAAAAGCAAGACCAACTCAAGCAGTTCAGTAAGTCAGATGATTCATAAAATAAGACTGACGTGCTGCACTGTTAAACCACTGTAATTCCAGTAGCAAGTTTTATGTTTAGACTCCTCTTTAAACTGGAATTGCTGCTGTACACCCAGCAGATCATCACCCAGCTGAGAGAGGAATTTAATGAGCTGCTGCTGCGTGATATGACAGAAACAAGTCAACATACTGAAACACTGATTGCAAAACTGCATGTCCCGTGCTGTATCCATGTGGCAGAGGGACAGGAGCTCTCTTGTCTCCCAAACTGGACGCTCCCCTTGCTCTTCTCTTGCTTCACTATCTGAACTTAGAGGACAGGACACAACTCTTGGTCTCAGTCCAACCCTTAAGGAACTTAGTATCAGTTTTGTATTATTAAAAACAGGATGGGATTAAAATGTGTCCTCAAGTGACTTCTTCCTCTAGCATAACTTCCAGCTTCAGAAAAAGGATGAAAAGCTGCTTGGAGTATAGAGTATGACACCAATCTGTAGCATAAAACTATGTAAGCAGCTCTGAAACAGAACCAGAACTTGAGTCTTTCCCCCTCCCAAGCAAATGCCTTAACTGAGGTGGTAATGTCTTCCCTTTCTTTGCACTTGATAATCTTCATGTGTCTTATGCAAAGTAAAAGAAATTTAACAGGAAGGGAGGAGAAAAGTGTCAGCAACCTCTAGCAACTTGTAGCCTGGTGGCCCTAACACTGTTCTGGGTGGTGAAGCATGTTGGATTTCAAGGTTTCCAGGTGAGAAATTGAAAGCAATTGCTCTTTCATGGGGAAGAGCTCTGCCAACTAGGTAACAACAGCATCTCTGCTTCCCAAAGTGTCTTATGATAGACAAATATGCTATTCTTTAATGGGGCAGTGCTTTGGTCCAAGGCAGTATTTATAGCTATGAACTAAATGTGGAAGGGTAGACTTTTCTGCTAAAGTTACATGCTTGAACAAGGAAATGGGGTGAAACTGGGGACAAACTTTTTAGCATGGCCTGTTGCGATAAGTCATAGGGTAATGGTCTTAAACTAAGAGGGTAGATTTAGACAAGCTATAAAGAAAAAAAAATTATGGTGAGGTTGGTGAAACACTGGAACAGGTTTTCCAGAGAGGTGGTACATGCCCCATCCCTGGAAACATTCAAGTCTAGGTTGGATGGAGCTCTGAGCAACCTGATCTAGTGGAAAGTGTCCCTGCTCACTGAAGGGAAGTTGGACTAGGTGACCTTTAAAGGTCCCTTCCAACCCAAACCATTCTATGATTCTGTGATAAGCTGCCAGCCCTGGGTTCAGTGAGCACTCTCCAGGCTGCTAGCAGCTGCAGGTCTTGCGCAGAGCTGAACTCCCTGCGTGACGCAAGGAGCCGGGCACTTATGTCAGGCTTGCGAGAGTTCAGTGCTGCAATATCGAACTTGCCCTACCTACTGCCATTTCTGCAGCCAGCCCATGTTCCTTAAAGCCTGGAAAAGACTCCAGAGGCAAATGCTGGAAGCTGCAGCATGGTGCGAGAGCTGGCCGAGTATCAAGAACTGTGTGACAGGCAAAAATTCCACACCGACAGTGAGTAAACATGAAAACTTGACAACTTCACTGTGGCAAGTTCTTTGTGCCAACACGCTATATTAAGGAAACCCCTCTTTGGTTGCTCACACAAGATTTCAGACCTTGTCTTTTCCTTTAAGACTTAAACACAAGCCCCTTGCCATTCAGTAGAAGCTACATTATCCAAATCACCGGACTCGAGAACATTGACACAGGAAGATAGAATGGCAAATTGGGTGCTCAGGATCTTACTATACTGCAGTAAAGATTACTAATAAAATTCACTTTTAGATTAAAAACCTTTAAAATTATCTATTCAGATATCATGTATGGTATTCAACAAGGTAAGTGTGTTTTACTACTATTAAAAATGAATATGGACTGCATTCAGTTCTTACTTGTCTTGGTGCAAATTTAGAGCAACTTCACAGCCTTGAACTGAAACAGATGATTTACACTGAGCTGAAACGGAGCACGTGTCAATTTTAGGGTTCATTTAGGAATGCAGCTGGGTAACAGTCTGGCAACTTTGAAAAAAGTTGAACACAAAGCGTTTCACAAGTTCCTGAAATGAACCTGAACAAACTACCAGCATTCTCAAGTAACTTTTACTGCTATGGCCCTTTTATTTTGAACAGAAACCAGCCCTTTTTGCCTTCACTACTTGACCACACATGGCAGGAGGTTAAAATATTTTCCTGGTTGATTGTGTTATGCTTTGCATCTGGGAACTGGTATGCTTTTAATACCTTCAGATATGTTTGCTATTTGATGTGATTTTCTTCATAAACTGTGTTGTTAAGACGATGAATGAGTCCATGGCTAGAACTGCCATTAGATGAGCAAACCTTTAGTTTTCTGGAAGGCACATCTATGCACGCAACAGGTAATGGTGGTTGTTTTGTTTGTACTTCAATCTCTAGCGGTCCTAACTGTGATATTACGCTCAAAGTATGATAGAAAGCAGTTTGAAAATACGTCCAGCTTTACAGTCTTTGAGTATCAATCCAGTTTAAGTTGACGCAACAAAAGCAGCTGGAACAGAAATAAGGGCATGTCCCCAGGAGCTGTGTTTTATGCCGGTAAAAGCAGTTTCTGTTTATTTGTTTGAAATTACAAAATCCTGAGGGCAGGTTTCAGGCTCGGTCCCAGGCCGGTGACCCAGCACGGTCCCATCCCACCAGGCACACAGAAACTGCCTCTTGCCGCCCGATACTGTTGGGACTGGGAAAACGGAAGGTGTGATGCGAGAAACCCCTTACCTGCGGTATCGTACAAATTCAGGGTGACCTCCTTTTTGCCCACCGTTACGCTGGTCGTGTACTTCTCGAAGACGGACGGCGCGTATTGCTGCAAAGGGAAGAGAAGCGGTTTCCACCCAGGGCCCAGCAGGTCGCAGCCCGCTCGCCGGGCGGTCCCCAGCCC